AATTTTTTTTTAAAAAAAACCTAAACTGCCCAGAGGCGAATTTACTGCAGTACTACTGAGTACTAGTATGTACAAATTTTGGGTGTATTGTTTTCTGGGGACAATATTAATCGAAACAATGAACTATTTAATTGTATAACACAAGTGACTTTGGGAGAAAAAAAATCACTTTTCTAGAAGCCATGGATCGATTCGTTATTTGCAAGATCGCCTCCCCGGCAGGTTCCATGTGGCCATGCCTTTTCTTGTCAGAATCTTATTAAGTCTATTTTTACCTCCATGTTAAGTCTGACACCAGCTCATTTATCTTGGCTTATGAAGAACTTGAAGGTAAACCCAGTAATGATTTAAAATTTTTACAAGTAGCATTACATTTTAATAACAGTAAAAATAGAAGTAAACCATGCAAATAATGCAGATTGCTGACATGTAAAGGCTGGAATGAACATGTAAATAAAGTACAATATGTAAATGTGATTAATGCCTGTTTATGTTTATTGTGTAATAGTTCGTGCAAAAAACTATTTTAGAAAAATAAAGTGCGGTAGCGGCAGGGACCCCACATATTTTTAAGGGACCCACACATTTTATAAGGGGTGGGTCCCAGGGACTCCACATTATCGAACACTAATGCAACCCCTGTTAAATTATGCTGGGATCTTTTTTTTTTTAGAGTATATAATATGTGAATTGTATATTTTTATTATTGGATGAAAGTGGTATCATAATTTTTCGGATGAGTTATATTTTGGGCAATTCAATAGAAAATATTCTTCATCTTCAATTGAATTTGTGTCACACTTATTGCATATTCTTTTTCTTTTGTTAATAGGTTTCTTAGGAATTGAATATCTGCCTTCCTTTATTGCTAAGTTATGGTTACTACGGTAATTCTAAATTTTTTAACATTTTCTTTTTATAAGTGTCAAGTTCATTCAAATATGGCTCAAAGATGTATTCTGTTTTAAATTTAGCATATGTTTTCTATTTTCTTTGGAAATCATTTCTTTCCAGGCATTTATTTTCAAGGGAAGTTTATAAAATTTGATTTTTTGTTTTATAGTGAGTGTTTTTCATTTATGAAGTTTAGTGAATTGTCTTTCAATATTGTATGCATTTAGCCATTTGTATTGTACAGTATGCTTGTATACATGTAGTTTGTTCTAGGTATGCCAGTTTTGTTAGATTATCATTTACATGTACCGGTACATTATTTGAAAAATTCAGGGCTCTTTAGCCTATAGGAATAGTGCAGAGAAAAACTGTATTTTTCAAAGGGCACAAAGGTAAACTTATTGGGCATTGAATAAATTGCCTTCAAGTTATGGCTTAGTCTTTTCCACGAAACGAAACGAAACCCAAACCCTAACTCGCATTTTTTTTTCATTGGCCCAATAATATCTGAGAAAATTTCACACTGAAATACGGACATGTTTGAGGTCGTTCAAAATCTAAGGTTAGGGTTAGAGTTAGGGTTAAGGTTTCGTTTCGTTTTATTTTGTTTCATTTCGTTTCGTGGAAAAGACTAAGCCTCAAGTTATATATCACTGTACATTGATATTAAAGTTGCACCATAGACCCTACAATACATTACTATACTCAAGATGTTCTCGTACACCTCAATCGCACTTGGGTCGAAGATTTCAGAACTACAAATAGAAATGTACAGAACAAAGAGCATGGGTTTGACGCCATGGCCATGCCTGTAGTTCAATCTCCAAACCGCAGGACAATTAACCACTAAAGGCACACCCATTCATTGTACAAATAGGTACAGCCTCATGGCTGACGTGGTGGCAATCTTTGACAAGTTTCTTTTAATTTCCATTGCATTCGTTTTAGACGCATGAACGATACATGACGCCGATTTAAAACAAGACTCGAAAAAGCTAAATATTTTGACTAGCGAGCAGAGTTGCGAGATTCAATAACTGCAACTGTGCAGACGAGCAGACGTGAGTCATCGACGACAGGTCATCTTGTAGTCCCAGGCACTTTAAAACATGGTATTCTGACTAAACGGAACAACCACTAAAATATTGAATATCTTACCGGTATAATGAACCACAACAGTCTGTCCAGTTTTTGGCTTTGTCATACCTGCAAAGGAACAGTAAGACAATCACATTTCGTGTGTTGTAGTCGGGTGTCGATTCACGTGTATTCGATGGACACCATACATAATTTGAACCGGTAAATCACCACGAATTCTAAAATTTATAACAACACAAAATTATACATACCATCGCCGGGATTAATTGTTTCAACTTCGACACCCATAGTCTATTATATAATTTCCTAAATAGAAATTAATTTCAGTACTGATCTTGTTGAATCGTCTGCAGCCCAGCCACTCAACTCCTCAAACCAACTTCGACACGCGAATGAGGCCAATCGAGACAAACAGACCAAAAGTACCCGGATGTACGCACTTTCGTCGGGAATGTGTGTCAATATTTGCGCAGAGATTATTATAGTTCCATAATAAATTTAAATATTTTTTTTTATTATTAACAAACGTATTCATATGATTCGTATTCGTATGATATTTTGTATATGTTACTCGTTGATCCAGGATCTGGGATTGTGGTATACGAATGTAAAATCATTCGTTTACAAGTCACGTGATCCCCACGGTGTCAGTACACGATGCCGGCCATATCTTATATGCCAGACAGACCCCTTTCTGAGCAGCAAATACTAGTAGTAATTTTTATTGCATGATAAATACAGATAAGACGGATCTAATGTAAATTCAATTGAACAGACACAAATAAACTTGGAGGTAAAATAGAATGTTTCATCTATGGAGATATCTATTTTCTTTAGCTCCCCTTTACTATACTCATATCATTAAGGGCTGGGCCATTTGAAATCATGGGATGACGGAAGACTCGTTAAAAAAACGCATGCAAGGTGTTGCAAAAAAAATATGCTGGCGCATTCGACAGAAATACAAATGTTCTTATAAAACACTGCCAAAAAATTGCACTGGTCACATTTTTCCAGCCAGGGCATGACTGTATCAATTATAAACAACGAGATATGTAGGTATACTTCTGACTATAATTCAAAAATACTTGTGCCAAATGAATAATACGCAAACAACAAATATTTTTTATTCGAAAAAATTCTATTCCATGTATTTGTATGCAGATATTATAAATACATGCGATGACACGTGACATGAAATTTATATAGTTGTTAGGCCAACAAAACCAATATTTCTGTTTCTGGTCATCTTGCGCGTCATAGCCGCTTCCTTGTGTCTGGTGTTGAAAATGATGAAATATTTTCATGGAAAAATCAAAATAAAAGCACGCAACAATTTTAGAATAAAAAAATACATTGATCCGATTTCTTTTTTATTTATTTGTTTTTAATTACTAGGTTGGTACATCAGAACTCTAATTTTTACATACTAGTCTAAGATTAAAATATACGAAACATTCGGTCCCAAAACGCAGACCATATTCACTCTGAAACAACTAATTTTTGCGATCTTCGTTTTTACGTAATGTGATTTTATTTCACAACGACCGAGAAAGGTGAATAAACACGCTGGTAATCATTCAAATGTCCCACTCTAATATTGCTGTACGATACCGACAAGGGCAAGTATTCATTGCGGTCAATGAAACTGGAAAATCACGTGACAAAGGCACTTCCGCTATCGATGTTTCTTTCATAGCAAGTTATGTTATTTATAAGTCCTCCACTATGAATTTTGACAAGCTCCAAAGCTGGGGAACATCGTAAAAATGTTTTCACTGCCATAATAATGATGCTGCAGATGCTACGTTTTAATAATACCAACAGATAGAATATTGAATTTATTACGCTGATTAACGGGAACATCAATTAACAGATCTTGAGAAAATATTAACAACACAATATCAAACAAATATAATGTAATACGAACAAACACAACTCAATTATATACTGAGATTTAAAAGAATGAAATTTCGAAAAAATATTACATTTAGATGAAATGTCACCAAAAGTCGCCATGCAGCTTAATAGGGATGACTGTTTTCTGCAATTAACTAAGCATCATTTGGTTTTAAATGTCTTTGCGTCTCAGATGCCTTCAAGTTGTTGAAACAAAAAAATAAATATTACGTACTAAGAATTGCAGGACAGTCATAGCATTGACCTACAAAACCAAAAGAAATGTGTTGGTACATGGTCATAACAAGAATTGCTTGATATTATAAAGAACACTGAGGGGTCCCAGAAGTGAACCCTTGGGCCCGGGGACAACTGACGATGCATTGAACCCACAGACTAGAATGAAAACGGAAATACTCATATATTCAACAAATACATATTACAACGATTACACTTCTCTTTAGTTCTAGTACAAACCGCATGTAATTGGTGCAAAAACACTAGCTGATTATCAGACTGATTCAAAACAATAATAATCAAAACACAGGTATATCTAGACTTAGCCCTGCGTA